GTCTGAAAAAATTTGCCTACAAAACAATCTGGAACTTGTGTCTTGTGGAATGGAAGACTATGTTTCTTCTCAATAGTTTCATTATGAAAAATTTCAGAGATATATAAAAGTAGAGAACATAGCTCAACAAATCCCATCTATCATTTAGAGGCAACAATTAACAAGATTTTTGCCAATTTCACTCAATATCCATTTTAAAATTTATTTTCTGGCTAGACATGGTGGCCCATGCCTGTAATCCCAGCATTTTGGGCTGGCCAGGGCAGGAAGATGGCTTGAACTCAGGAGTTTGAGGTCAGCCTGGGCAACACGGCAAGACCCCCATCTCCACAAAAAATTTAAAACTTAGTGGGGCATGCTGGCTTGTGCTTGTGGTCCAAGCTACTTGGGAGGTTGAGGTGGGAGGATCACTTGAGCCCAGAAGGTCAAGCCTGTAGTGAGCCATGTTTGTGCCACTGCACTTCAGCCTAGCAGACAGAGGAAGACCCAGTCTCCAAAAAAAAATAAAAAAAGAAAGAATGAAAAAAGAAAATTTATTTTCTTCATTTTTGTTTTACAAAGTATTTTAAAGCAAATCCCAGACGTCATGTGTTTTCATTCCTACATACATCAGTGTGCATCCTCTAAAAAACTAAGGACGAGAAGACAGACATTTTTTCTTTTTTAGAGACAGGGTCTAAATCTGTCATCCAGGTTGGTGTGCAGTGGCACAATTACAGCTCACTGCAGGCTTCAGCTCCTGGCTTAAGCAATTCTCTCATTTCAGCCTCCTGACAAGCTGAGACTATAGGTGTCTGCCACCATGCCCAGCTACTGTTTAAACTTTTTGTAGAGACAGGGCCTTGCTATGTTGCCAGGGCTGTTCTCTAACTCCTCAAGGGATCCTCTGCCTTGGCCTCCCAAATTGCTGGGATTACTGGTGTAAGCCACCACACCACATATTCTTACATAATCAAAATTTCATTACCACATCTAACAAAATTAAATATATTTCCTTGGTATTATGTAACATCTAGGCCATAATCAAATTTCCCATTTGTCTCAAAATGTCTTCCACAGTTGTCCAGAGATTTGGGATTACTAACTCAATGTCTTCAATGTTTATTGGTTTATTCAAGACTTCTATTTCAAGTCAATTTTGATCATTTCTATTTTCTAGAAAATTATTTTGTTTGTTTCTCACTAGGATTCCTGATTGTTTTCCAGAGTCCTATCCCCTGAGTTCCAATCGCTGGCATAATCACACTCTAAAGGCTAAATACCCAGAATCGTTACCTGAAAATTCCTACTACCAATGGTTCTTCTTCATGGTAAATCATAGGCAAATTAAGCCTGAGTTTGTAAACTCTTCTACCACTCTAGGAAGAGAGGGAGGCGGTGCCAGTCCTTTCGGTGGACACGAGGCCTAGGCCTGCCTTGTCCCGGTATTTCTTCACCTTAACCACAGATCAAATCGCATTCTTTATCTTCAAATCATCTGAAGTATAATTTCAAATCACAGGACAGAATAAAACAATCTTTGAGACAGGCAGGACCTTAGAAAAGAGGTATGTCATCTCATTTATTTACAGATGAAGAAAGTAAACTTCAGAGAGGTCAAAGTGATTTGTCTCAGGTCACATAACCAGTGGTGGAAAGAAGAGAGTTACTGGAGTGTCAAGATAAGAACGTATTCCAGGAGGTTTAAAAAGTTGTTTGAGTACATTCCAAATTAAGTATTTCATTCCTGAGCGGTAAAACCTATCTATATTGAAGCCTGCTGTTCCAAACAGTAATTACAAAGTGCGGCAATGCTCTCCATCTTTTCCTTTCATGAATCCATTATGAAAGTTAGCTTTATGAAGCTACTTTGTCTCCAGAAAGACATGTACATTTCATACTGTTCAAATTTGTAACTGTCAGCAAAATCAGATCCAGCACCACCTGTTTCTCAATCCAGCCTAGAGACTGCTCCTCTGATAGACACACTGGACTCTCAGGGGTAGAATGGGCAACTTCTGACAAAGGACAGCACTTCTCTGATGGTGTGGAAGTACCAAAGGTTTGACTGCACTTTAAAACGGTGGTAACAGGTGGCCAGGCACGGTGGCTCATGCCTGTAATCCCAGCACTTTGGGAGGCTGACATGGGCAGATCACAAGGTCAGGAGTTCAAGACCAGTGTGGCCAACATGGTGAAACCCCATCTCTACTAAAACTACAGAAAAATCAGCCAGCTGTGGCACTCACCTGTAGTCCCAGCTACTCTGGAGGCTGAGGCAGGAGAATTGCTTGAATCCGGGAGGCAGAGGTTATAGTAAGCCAAGATTGTGCCACTGCACTCCAGCCTAGGTGACAGAGCGAGATTCCATCTCTCCCCCCCCGGACTCCAAAAAAGTGACATAGGTGCAGAAAACAAGTTGGAAATGATCTAAGTCAAGCTTGCTTTTTTGCGATATTTTAATAGCTCATTAGCTATCATTAGTGTTAGTATATTTTATGTGGCTGAAGACAAGTCTCCCAATGTGGCCCAGGGAAACCAAAAGATTGGACACCCAATCTAGGCGAGCCCAATTTCCAAATTTACTATAAAACTACAGTGTGCCACTTCGCATCCATTAGGTTGGCAATAAACAAACCCAGAAAATAACAAGTGTTGGTGAGGACGTGGGAAAATTGGAACCCTTGTGTATTGCTGATGCAGCTATGGAAAACAGTATGGTAATTCCTGGAAAAATTGTAAATGGAATTAACTTATGATCCAGTGATTGCATTTCTGGGCATATACCCAAAATAATTGAAAGCAGGTTTCAAAGAGTATTTGTACACCCATGTTCATAACAGCACTATTCACAACAGCCAAAAGGTAGAAGCAATCTATCCACTGACGTATGAATGGACAGACAAAATATGATATATACATACAATGGAATATTATCCAGCCTTAAAAAAGGAAACTCTGACATGCTGCAACATGGATGAAATGGAAGCCATGCTAAGTTAAATCACCCAGTTACAAAAGTGCGACGTTTTTTTTTTGACATGGAGTTTGGCTCTTGTCGCCCATGCTAGAGTGCAGTGGTGCGATCTCGGCTCACTGCAATCTCCGCCTCCCGGGTTCCAGTGGTTCTCTTGCCTCAGCCTCCTGAGTAGCTGGCATCACAGGTGCCCGCCACCATGCCCGGCTAATTTTCTGCAGTTTTAGCAGAGATGGGGTTTCATCACAATGGCTACATTGGTCTTGAACTCCTGACCTCAGGTGACGAACCCATCTCGACCTCCCAAAGTGCAGGGATTACAGGCGTGGGCCACCGTGCCTAGCCTAAAAGAACAAATATTGTATGAGTCTACTCATGTGAGTAGACATATTTACAGAGGCAGGAAGTCGAAGGGTGGCCTCCAGGAACTTGGAATTAGGGGAAAATGGGGAGTTACTGTTTAATGGATACAAAGTTTCAATTTTGCAAGATGAAAAATGTTCCGCGGGTGGATGGTGGTGAGGGTTGCACAACAATGTGAATATAGTTAATGCCAGTGAACTGTACACTTAAAAACAGTTAAAATAACTTGCATGTAATATACATTTTATAGTTAAAAAAAAAATTAAAAAAGTGTGGTACACAGATCATTGGAACAAAAATCCAGAAATAGACTCACACGTATATGGTCACAAGACGAAGGTAATTCAACGGATGAGTCTTTTCAACAAATGGTAATGGAACGACTGTGTATCCCTAGAGGAAAATGTGACACCAACCAGACAACATAAGCAAAAATGAATGCTATTAGACAATAGACTTATACGTAAAAGACTATATAAGACATACATGAAAACACAGAAGACCTTCACGAACTTGAGGTAGGCAGAGATTTCCTAGCACAGAAAAAGCACAAACCATAAACGGTAAAACTGACCAACTTGCCGGACGCGGCGGCTCAAGCCTGTAATCCCAGCACTTTGGGAGGCCGAGGCGGGAAGATCACCTGAGGTCGGGAGTTCAAGACCAGCCTGACCAACATGGGGAAACCCCGTCTCTACTAAACATAAAATTAGCCAGGCGCGGTGGCGCACGCCTGTAATCCCAGCTACTCGGGAGGCTGAGGCAGGAGAATCGCGTGAACCTGGGAGGAGGAGGTTGCAGTGAGCCAAGACTGCGCCATTGCGTTCTAGCCTGACCAACAAGAACGAAACTCTGTCTCAAAAAAAATGACCAAGTGACTTCAGCAGAATTAACAACTTCTTTTACCAAAAACATGGTCAAAATAATGAAAAGACAAGGCCCAGATTGAAAGACTTCGCAACAACTTATGTAACAAAAGATTTGTATTCAGAACATACATGTGTCCATCTAACAAAACATCTGCATTCGCAACTGTTAAACTCGAAGGACCAGCTTTAAAAATGGGCCGAAGACTGGAACTGAAACTTCACGAAAGTTGCAGAATGGGGCCGGGCGCGATGGCTCACGCCTGTAATCCCAGCACTTTGGGAGGCCGAGGTGGGTGGATCACCTGAGGTCAGGAGTTCAAGACCAGCCTGGCCATCATGGCGAAACCCCACATCTATATATATACATATACGCAGGATGACCAGTGACGCTGGCGCCAAAGCGGGAAGGAACGCATTCCTCAGCCTAAACGGCCTAACAGCAGGACACGGACGTAACCACCCCAGGCCAAAAAAAGCACAGAAAACGCCGCCTCCGCTAACGGACACTCAAAGGCCGGATTGTCTCAGTTCCTTCACAGCGCCGGAAAACGGAACTCTCGCGGTGTCCAACGGTGCGCGGACGCTCTCAGCCGCACGGGACGAGACGGAGGGCGCAGGCGCATCCGCGGCTCTCGGATTGGGCGACTCACTGCAAAGGGCGGGGCAAACAGGACGCGCGCAGGTATGGGAGCGCCGGCTCGAATCTCCGCGGGAGCTCACCAGACACGCCCCCGTGCGCGCCCCCGCCGCCGCCGCCGTCGGGTGACCACCCCCGTCTAGCCTGTCCTCTCGCGGTATTTCTGCCGACTCTCGCGGGGTTTAGCGTGGCACCAGGGGGCCGGGCGCAGGCGCTGACGTTCCGTTAGTGGCGTTGGGGTCTGGCTGCGGTGGCGGTGCTTTCTCCTCTGCCCACGGGGACCGGCTCCGGCTGGACGCCAGCCAGGTGAAGAGCTCGCCCGCATGCGTGCGCGCTGCGCGGGAGCCGCGAGGCCCGGGGCGGGAGGGCGCCGCGTCGGGGCCTCCTGCGCGGTCGCCAGGGCCGGCGTGAGGCGCCGCGGCGCGGACTCGGTCTCCGCCCGCCTCGCCCCTGCCCTGACCGCGTTCCTCCCCCTCTCTCCCAGCTCTTGCCGCCGCCTCGGCCGCGATGGGGGCGCAGGACCGGCCGCAGTGCCACTTCGACATTGAGATCAACCGGGAGCCGGGTGAGCGGGAGCCTGGGGAGCGCCGTGGGCCGCGGCCCGCGTCGGCGGAGGGGAGGGGAGGGTCCGCCCGCGGCTGCCTCCCGCCCTGCGGGTGCGGGTCGGAGGTGCAGCCCGTTCCGTCTCCGCGACGGAAAGCAGCGGGAGCGGACGGTGGCCTGGGCGCGCCGCCCGCTCGCAGCCGGCCGGTCCTCCCGCACCCCCACGCCCCCCGCGCCCGCAGACCCAGCCCTCGCGCCGGCCTGGCGCCGCGAGGAGGAGGTGCGGCGCTTTGAGCGCTTTCTCCCGGGGCCTCCGCGGGGCGAACGCTCCGACCGGGTTCCCGCGTCTTGCTTCGTGCCCTGGAGTTTCAGCTGGTGGGAAATCGCGTGCGTTTCCCAGTCACGGTATATCACGAAGATGTTACCGCTGCCTCCGTTTGTCCTGGATCTTTAGCTGGAATTTCGTCTTCCTGGGAACGTCTTTTGTGATGAACCAGAGCGTTCTGTACCAGCAGAAGGGCAGCTTGCATGCGTTTCGCACTCATGTTTTGTCTTCCAGCCATTTGTTAGTGTATTTTTTTTTTAAAATAAAGCATTTCCTTCTAAAGTATAGCTGTTTCATTCCAAGTAGTAGAGCGTGCACGGTTTCCAACTGTTTTCTTGGCTTTTTTTGGTATGTGTGACGAAAGTGTTAATTGGAGGCACATGTGTATTTACTGTCTTTGTGCAACATCTTGTTCTGCAGATTCTTATGAGAATTTCTACTGTTGTAGGCTCTGGAGGTAGAGCAGTGCATAAAACAAAGGCCTCCCTTCCTTTTATAGTTCATATTCTACTGGGGGGAAGAGAGAGACAACTAGGGAAAAAGTAGTGGTGACTTGTAGTTGGGCTACGATTTTAGTAAGTTGGTCGAACAAGGCCGTTTCCGGAAGATGACGTTTAAGCAGATATCTGAAGGAGATGAAGCGAGGCATATTTACCAAGAGCGTTCGTGTAGAGGTAAACCGTATAGCCCTGAGGAGTAGCGTGGTACAGTCGTGCGCCAAATGACACTTCTGTCTCTAACAGTGGTCTTAAATACCTTATTTTTTCTGTAGCTTTTTAATGTTTAGGTATGTTTAGATACACAAATACTTCCATTGTGTTAAAGTTGCCTACAGTATTCAGTGTAGTAACATCCTGTACAGGCTTGTAGCCCAGGAGCAAATACACCATATAGCCTAGGTGTTTAGTAGGCCGTACCATCTAGGTTTAAGTACACCTCGTGATGTTCACGCAGTGACGAAATTGCCGAATTACACGTTTCGCAGAATGCGTCCTGGTTATTAAGCAATAGAGGACTGTACTTGCTTGTTTGAGGGACAGCAAGGTGCCCATTGTGGCTGGAGTAGAAGAGGGAAGAGAATACTGACTCAGTGAGGCAGGAAGATATTAAAGGGTTTTGAGCAAAGGAATGAGGTGATCCTAGAAATTTGATTGCCTTCTCTCTCTTTTAATGTTTTTAGCCTTGATTTATATTTTTAAATAAGTATCACTAGAAAGCCTTGATGGACCTTAATCCATGTTCTGTAGTGAATCCATGCTTCAGGTAACAGGTTTTTTTTTTTTAGAATTAAAAATAGGCCAGGCTTGGGGGCTCACACCTGTAATCCCAGCACTTTGGAAGGCAGAGACGGGTGGATCATTTTGAGCTCAGAAGTTCCAGACCAGCCTGGCCAGCATGGTGAAACCCTTTCTCTACTAAAAATACAAAAATTAGCTGGGTGTGGTGGCTCTCTTAGTTTTTGCCTGTAGTCTCAGCTGCTTGGGGGGCTGAGGCTGGAGGATTGCTTGAGCCTGGGAAGCAGAGGTTGCAGTGAGCAGAAATTACACCACTGCATGTCAGCCTGGGTGACGGAGCCAGACCCTGTCTCAAAAAACAAAAGAAAAGAAAAAATAGTAGAGTGCAAGCAGAAGTATGACCAAGCATGGTAGTTCATATCTGTAGTCGCAGCACTTAGGGAGGCCCAAGCAGGAGGATTACTTGAAGCCAGGAGTTTGAGACCAGCCTGGGCAACATAGCAAGACCTTGTCTCTACACACAAAAAAATTTTTTTTCAATAGCCAGGCATGGTGGTGTTCATCTGTACTTGGGAGGGTGAGGTGGGAGGATGGCTTGCGCTCATGGGTTTAAGGCTGCCGCCGTGAGCTATGACTGCACCACTGCACTCCAGTTTGATCAACAGAGCAAGATGCTGTTTCTAAAAAAAAATTTTTCATTTTAAAAACTTAATAAAAGTACAAGTGAAAAAGTTCTGTAGTCATGTTAAGTACCCCTTTCCTAGTAAAAGTTGAGATCCTAGATTTGCACATAACCTGTTGTGAAAAGTCTCCAGAGTATGTTTGGCATATGTTTTCAGTGAACCTCAGTCCTTAACATCCAAGGTAATTCATTCTGATAGATGTGTGTAGATGTGATTAGCACTCTTGAGAATAACAAATCATAAAACAGGGAATGCAGTGCTTACATTGTTCTAGGTTTAATCATTTGATAATTGGCAATTTCATATGGTTCAGTCTCATAAAATACTAGCACTTTTTGAGTATATTAACTAAATAGTGGATTTTACACAACCTTTTTTTTTTTTTTTTTTTTTTTTTGAGTTGGAGTCTCACTTCTTTGCCCAGGCTAGAGTGCAGTGGTGCAATCTTGGCTCACTGGAGCCTCAACCTCCGCCTTCCAGGTTCAAGCGATTTTTCTACCTCAGCCTCCCCAGTAGCTGGGATTGCAGCCATGTGCCACCACGCTCAGCTAATTTTTGTATTTTTAGTAGAGATGGATTTCACCATGTTGGCCAGGATGGTCTTGAACTCCTGACCTCAAGTGATCTGCCCACCATGGCCCCGAAGTGCTGGGATTATAGTCATGAGCCACTGCACCCAGCTAATTTTACACAACTTTTTTTTTTTTTTTTTTTTTTTTTTTGAGACAGAGTTTCGCTCTTGTTGCCCAGGCTGGAGTGCAATGTCTCGATCGCGGCTCACCGCAACCTCCGCCTCCTGGGTTCAAGCAATTCTGCCTCAGCCTCCCGAGTAGCTGGGACTACAGGCGTGCGCCACCATGCCCAGCTAATTTTTGTATTTTTAGTAGAGACGGGGTTTCACCATGTTGACCAGGATGGCCTCGATCTCTTGACCTCGTGATCCACCCACCTCAGACTCCCAAAGTGCTGGGATTATAGGTGTGAGCCACCGTACCCAGCCTTTACACAACTTTTAAGGGTCACTTCACTTGTATGAAGTGTCCTGTTCTGTAGGATTTAACCATTAGTACATATGTCAGGATGTACTTTCTCGAGCAATACTCTTGACTACTTATATAGTTAGTAATTCACTTGATATTACAAAACAGTATCTTTGATTTACTTTGTTAAGTAAAGATCATTTTAAGAATGGCCACACTGTCCATATTAATGAGACATGAAGAAGTATTGATAAAAGTTCAGTTGAATACAGCACATTATGTCTTTTGCATTACTATCCATAGAAATGTGCCCATTTGATAGCAGACAAGTTAACTATTATAAAGCCACTGAATGAATGCAGGTATATCTTTTAAAAGACTTTAAATTGTATTTGAGTTTTTATCTGAATCTAATAAGATGGTTTTTGAAATAATTCCAGGATAGTTTTTTATAATTTTCAGTCATGTAAGATTTTGTTTTATTTGTTAGATGTAAGAATATTTTATATCGTCAATTTTGTTTTTTGTCTATTTCTTCTTAAGTTTTGGCAGTTTGTGGTGTTGTGTTTTGTTTTGTTGTGTTTGAGACAGAGTCTCACTGTCGCCCAGGCTAAAGTGCAGTGGAACAATCTCTGCTCACTGGAGTCTCTGCCTCCTGGGTTCAAGTGATTCTCATGCCTCAGCCTCCCTAGTAGTGGGATTATAGGTACCTGCCATTATGCCTCGTGAATTTTTTTGTATTTTTTAGTAGAGATAGGGTTTCTCCATGTTGGCAGGGTTGGTCTCGAATCCCTGAACTCAGGTGATCTACTTGCCTCAGACTGCCAAAGTGCTAGAATTTCAGGCATGAGCCACCATGTCCAACCTGTGGTTTTTATTAATAAGATACTGGTGCATTTTATCTAAGTTGTCAAGTTTATATGCTTAGAGTTGTTTGCCATAGCCTTTTATTTTAATATCTGTGGGGTCTGTAGTGATGTCTCTTTTCAGTCCTGATATTGATAATTTGTGCCTTTTGTTTTTTTCCTTTGTCAGTCTGACTAGAGGTTTATCCACTTTATTTTCAAAGAACCAGATTTTGGTCTGATTGAATTTTGTTTCTGATTTTCTGTTTTCAATTTCACTGATTTCTTTATTTCTTTCTAATGCTTGCTTCAGTTTTTATTTTGTTCTTTTTCTAGTTTCTTGATGGTGAAGCATATATTGTTAATCTGATACCTTTCTTTTTTGGTTGTTGAGATGGAGTCTCCAATGACTTCTAATTTAATTCCATCATGGCTAGAGAACGCACATTATTTCAGTTCTTCGTGCGCTTGAAAAGAATGCACATTCTGCTTTTTTTGTGTAGTGTTCTATAAATGTCAATTAAATCCAGTTGGCTGTTAGTGTTGGTCGTTTTTTAATATCTTTGCTGATTTTCTACTTGTTTTACTGATTACCAAGAGAGGAATATTGAAGTCTTTAACTATAATTGTGGGTTTATCTATTTCTCTCCTTTTTTTTTTTTTTTTGAGACTGAGTCTCGCTCTGTTGCCCAGGCTGGAGTGCAGTGGTGTGATGTTAGCTCACTGCAACCTCCACCTTCCAGGTTCAGTCGACTCTCCTGCCTCAGACTCCTGAGTAGCTGGGATTACAGGCATGTGCCACCACGCTTGGCTAATTTTTGTGTTTTTAGTAGAGACAGGGTTTCACCTTGTTGGCCAGGCTGGTCTCAAACTCCTGATCTTGTGATCCACCTGCCTCGGCCCCCCAAAGTGCTGGGATTACAGGCATGAGCCACGGCGCCAGCCTAAAGTGAT